CAACGCTAACGCTACCGCTAAAAACTTTACCCAGAACTCCATCAGCACTTCACTTCCGGTCCAAACCAACACTTCATCACACACCGAGCTCTTCTGAACACCGAGCGCGAGACCGCGAGGAAGTAAAGAGCCGCTTAATCCGCGTTACTGCAGCAGAGTATTCCTCTCAGCACGGAGTCACACACACACACACACACACTGCAGCCTGCCTCTGAGTGTGTGTGTGTAACCTGACCCCGCAGCTCTCCTTCACACACACACACACACACACACACACTCAGAGGCTGGGGAATCTCAGAGACAGTAACAGACGCTCATGTGCTGGTTATTAATGGAAAGAGTATTAATAAACCCAGAGCTGGCTCTGATGTATCATGTGCTGATATAACGCTATTTTATTTAAAATTATCTGTCTATCTATCTATCTAGCTATCTATCTATATATATATAGAGAGAGAGAGAGTCTCCATACAGAGGGGAAATTAACACTTTTTAGCAAAATGTAACTTTATTTGTACTTTAAAAGTAAGTTTATCTGGAAAGTTTCCTCTACATGACTGGTATTTGTTTGTAAACACACACAGCTTCGTCTCTCGCAGCTTTCACTCCCAGTGTGGCGACAGCGGTGTGTGTGATGTGTGATGTGCTCGCCATGTTTCTGTTGAAGTCCATCAGCTTCCTGATCCAACCACGAGAATGATTTCAATACGTCTTCTTTTGTCAAAGGCATGAAAAATATGAAAAAAAAAAAAAAGAATTAAGTATGAAAAATTTTGGACATTTTGCTAAAAAGTGTTAATTTTCCCCGTGTATGAAGACTTTTGGGACTTTTGGGACCTGTATATATTTACAGTCAAGGGTAAAAGAAAGTGCGCCCTCCTTCTATATTTTTATTTATCAGGACTTAAATAATAATTGTGTGTTCCTCACCAACTTCTATAAACAAACCAAAACGGTACGATGACGTGACGGTGTAACTGCGCGACGGTACGATGACGTGACGGTGTAACTGCGCGACGGTACGATGACGTGACGGTGTAACTATGCGACGGTACGATGACGTGATGATGTAACTGCGTGACGGTACGATGACGTGGTGGTGTAACTGCGTGACGGTACGATGACGTGATGATGTAACTGCACGACGGTATGATGACGTGACGGTGTAAC